TTGATGACGTCAGCGACGCGGTTTAATCGGGCGCGGCTTAGTTGAGCGCGGTTTTGTCGTGCCACGTAAAGGCTTAGCGTCATAGGATAGAGATGGAAGGAGTCATGAAGGCCAACCTTCTGAATATTGCAAGGTCCACTACGCCAGTTTTTTTCTTAAACTTGGCCACTTTAAGATGAGTGGACTTCAATTCCCAGAATTCTGCAGCCAGCCATTCAATTTTGGGAATAGCAACAGCGCTTAGAGTTATATACCGCTTCACAGTGCTTTTATAGCCCTCTCTAAGCGGTTTACAGAGTGAGAGCATCTTGCCCCCAACAATTCTGCATCCTCATTTTACCCACCTTGGAAGGATGGGTGGCTGAGTCAACCTTGAATCTGGTGAGATTTGAACTGCCAAATTGCAGGCAGCCGGCAGTCAGTAGAAGTAGCCTGCAGTACTGCACACTACTGCACCAATTCACTGAAGTTGAATTGAAGTTCATCCATCTTAAACGTGATCAAGCTTGAGAAACACTGCATTTATGTCATTCCCAACATATTGTGGGATCCAGACTCTTATAGGAAAGCTTCCAGTGAAAGAAAAGCCCTCCATATAGTAACCCATTCCATTGATTGACAGCTCTTATTGACTGGCCCCTTGCAAAGAATCCATTACATCTATGGAGGAATTATAGCATAGATTTGATATTTAACTCTCAGGAAAACAGGATTGTATTTTGCGATACAGGCATACAATCCTATGCAGGTAGTCCTCGACTTACAACAGTTTGTTTAGTGACCGTTCGAAGTTACAACAGCGTTGAAAAAAATGACCTAGGACCATTTTTCAGACTTACGACAGTTGCAGCCTCCCCATGGTCACACGATCAAAATTCAGATGCTTGGCAACTGACTCATATTTATGACGGTTGTAGTGTCCCCGGGGTCAGGTGATTCCCCCTTTGCAAGCTTCTGACCAGTGAAGTCAAGGGGAAGCCAGATTCACTTTAACAACCGTGTTACTAACTTAAAGCTGCAGGGATTCACTTAACAACTGTGGCAAGAAAAGTCGTAAAATGAGGCAAAGCTCACTTAACAAATATATCACTTAACAACAGCAATTTTAACTTCCATTGAGGTCATAAGGACCTGCATAAACAGCCCATCGGATTTGAAGGGCTTTGTGAGTTATATTTTTTAATACACTATGATCCTTTTGAGGCCTCAACTGAATGGGTCACAAATTTACTAATGACCACAGTTTTAAATGAGGAGCCTTGCTTGTCACCACAAGTCTTCAACTTACAACCACTCATTTGGCAACTGCACAAAGTTGCAATGGCTCTGAAAAAAGTAACTTACGACCCATCCTTGCACTTATGACCTCTGCAGCATCCTAATGGTCACTAGATCAAAATCTGGATGCTTGACAACATGCGTGTATTTATAACGTCTGCAGCATCACATGATCACCATCTGCAACCTTCCCGGGCTGCTTCTGACGAAGTTAGTGAGGGAAGCCAGATTTGCTTAGTGGCCGCAGTGATTCACTTAACAACCGAAGTGATTCAATTAACTGTGTTAAGGTGTAAAATTGGGCGTGGCACATTTAACAGCAATTCACAATTTCCTTAGCAAAGGAAATTCTGGCGACAATTGTAGTTATTAAGAGCTACCAGTAATGGTTGTCTATAGGTGGTTCTTGACTTACGACCATAATTAAGCCCAACATTTCTGTTGCTACCCTGTTTCCCCGAAAATGAGCCCTCCCTGAAAATATTGCAACATAGCAGCAGCCATGAGGTGACCACGTTCGCCCCCTCTTGCACCTCAAAAATAATAAGACCTCCCTGAAAATGCCGAGTGCTTATTTCAGGGGTCAAAAGAAAATAAGACTCCGTCTTATTTTCGGAGAAACACGGCAGGAAGAGGAAAAGGATGCTATTTAGTTAGGGTAATGAAACATCTGCAAGAAAACAGCCAAGCTCAGAGAACACCAAGCCCCCCCCCCCTCCTGTGCATGTACAAAATCTGATAAATTTAATCAGGATTCTGATTGAATCAGCACCCTTTTCTCCAGAAATCTGTTCCCCGAAGGATTTAGAAGTAGTCCTCGGCTTACAACTTCAATTGAGTCCCAAATTTCTGTTGCTAAGTGAGACGTTTGTTAAGGGCATTTTGCCCCATTTTACCACCTTCCTTGCCACATTTGTTTCTTGCCACATTTGTTAAGTGAATTGTGGCAGCTATTACATTAGGAACACGGTTGTTAAGTGAATCTGTTGTCTACATTGACTTTGCTTTTCAGAAAGTCACAAAAGGGGACCACGTGACCCCAGGACCCTGCAACCATCATAAGTACGAGTCAGTTGCAAAAGGTCTGAATTTTGGTCACATAACCGTGGGGATGCTACAACGGTCTCAAGTGTGAAAACTGGTCCTGTGTCACTTTTTTTCAGTGTCGTGTAACATTTGAACAGTCACTAAGTGAACTGTTGTTAGTCGAGGACTACCTGTGTTATGAAGAAAACCAGCCTGATGACATTGCTTGTGGTATTACACATGGCAGAAGGCTAAACCGCGGGAGGGCACCAACGTCCAACTTACATTTAGCCCTGCGATTCGCACTCAGAACTCAGGGCACTCACCCGGATGATATCCTGAGGCACCGATGCCATGCTGTGCGGCAGGATGATCACCACGGCGCCGGCTGACTGGCGAAGAGCTTTCTGATACTGTTCGTAGGAGAAGTCCATCAGCCGGATCATCACACAGCGGCGGCTTAACACATCTGCCTCTATGGTGCGTGCCTCGGTGTTTAATACAGCATTACGGGTGCCTGTCAAAAGCAGGGGAGAGGCTTGGTGATCTGGAATCCACAGAATAGCAATAGCACTTAAGACTTACATATTGCTTTACGGTGCTTTACAGCCCTCTCTAAGCGATTTACAGAGTCATCCTATGGCCCCCAACAATCTGGATCCACATTTTACCAACTTCGGAAGGATGGAAGGCTGAGTCATCCTGGAGTCTGGTGAGATTTGAACTGCCAAATTGCAGGCAGCTGGCAGGCGGCAGCAGTAGTCTGCAATACTGCACTCTAGCCACTGCAGCTCACAGAATCTGTGAGCCACTGCGGCTCACAGCTTTGCCAAGAAGACCGTTGGGCAGGGGTGGGCAATTTTCCAAGGGGTCACATGAGAAACTGGGACTACTATGGAGGGCTGAACCTAGAAGCTGTGAAGGTGCATGGATATGCGCGCATACATATATGTAAATTAGCCCCAACCACCCTCAAAACAATCCATGTGGGCCGGACAGGGACTGCCAAAGGATGTCGCACAGAGGGCATAAAATGCTCAGGTTTGCTTTTATGGGACCTTACTGTAATTGATATACCTTGTTCCCCGGTTTGTAGGATTTACAAATATGCATGGAACTGGATTTTCAATTATCCCAGTCAGTCAGAGGTTGCTGTGGCCCACCAAAGGCCAGCAGAGCTGGCAGTAGATTCGGACAGTGAGGAGGTTGGGGAGGAACCTGGGACAGTCCTGGAGTCTGGGGAAGGCTCTGATGAGGGCTCTGTGTCGGAGGCAGGGGGTGGGGGCAGAGCCGTCTGACAGTTCTCAGCTGCCTTTGGAGTCAGGCATCAGTGAGGCAGACGAACAGCTGAAGCCTGTTCTGCGCATGTGCAGAGTGGCCAGATGAAGGGAACAGCTAAAGAACAGGGGTTAATGTGGGAGTAAGGCCACAGGTGGACGATGAATGGCCCCTCCCAGAGGGAATAAAAGAGGAGCGAAAGGGGAGTGGAGTTTGCAGGAGACAATTTGCTTAATTGGTTCATGACTCTCCGAGGCTCCTTGCCAAGTTCTGCAGATCTCGGCCTGGCAGCTCTCCAAGCCAGAGAAGGTTTGTGACTGTAAATCCTCCCTTGAAAGACTTTGCTGGATGTGAACAAGAGGAATTCGCAGTAACTTAATAAAAAGGGGGGTTTGTCAGGACAAGGAGTCTGCTTCGTGGTTTGGGGAAGCCTAGGACAGAACTGGCGTCTTTGTGAATCTCACAGACACATTAAAGTCTTCCCTCCAGGCTTAGAAGCAGTGGGAAGGTTATATTGGGACACTAGGATGTAACGGCATGTGGGAGACAGAAGAGCCACAACCAGACAATAGTCTGATAACCGAAATTTGAGACTAAAGGAGGAGGGGTGGAGCAAGCGTCTTAGAAGGGACCCTCTCTAGTTTTCCAGAGAGTATAGGTAGTCCCTGACTTACAACAGTTCATTTAGTGACCGTTCAAAGTTACAACAGCATCAAAAAATGTGACTTGCGACCATTTTTTTTAGTTAATGGTCCTTGCAATATCCCCACAGTCACGTGATCAAAATTCAAATGCTGGGCAGCTGGTTCATATTTATGACCATAGTGGTGTCGCGGGACCATGTGATCCCGTTTTGCGACCTTCTGACGAGCAAAGTCAATGGGGAAGCCAGATTCACTCAACAACCGGGTTACTAACTTATCAAATGCAAAGAGTCACTTAGCCACTGTGGCAAGAAAAGTCTTAAAATGGGGCAAATCTCACTTAAGAAAAGAAATTTTGGGCTCAATTGTGGTCGCAAGTCAAGGACTAGGGGACGGGAAGGGGAAGGGAAGATTAATTTCAAACTTTCAAGATTCTGTTAATGTAACCTTACAATACAGGTAGTACTCAACTTACAACCATTCATAATTACAAAGGCACAGAAAAGTGATTTAGGACTAATTCTCGTACTTACAACCATTGCCATATGTGATTAAAATTCAACAACTGGCATGTATTTATGACAATTGCACTGTCCAGGGGTTATATGATCACCATTTATAAACTTCCCAGCCTGCAAAGTCAATGGGGGAAACCAGATTCAATACAATACAATAGCAGAGTTGGAAGGGACCTTGGAGGTCTTCTAGTCCAACCCCCTGCCTAGGCAGGAAACCCTATACTGTTTCAGACAGAT